CTTTTAAATATAAATAACATTTTATGCCTGAGAAGAATTTTTGAAATGTACATCAATTTTAGAAAGTTGAGGTCAATGAAAAATGATGTCTTCCAACATTTGGATAATCACACTATTAGTTCAAGTGTAAAAGTATGATAATTAAATATATGTGTATAACAGCATCTAAATATTGTTAGCCTTGTCTATTCTTCAAGGTGTAGAACTTGCTATTAAAAATACCAAGAATTCGACAAGCTCTTTGGCTGAAACTGTTGATATGTTTAGAACTATGTGTTTAGTTTGCCCCATGACTGAACATTCTGTGTGCCTTGCAGGAATGACTAAAGGTTGCATAGTAGAAACATTACTAACATTCAGGTACTTATCTGACAAGATTGGTCTTTGGCAGCTTTGATTTATTGTTTTAGAATAATAATCTGTTCCTGTCTCTAAATCTATGACTAAAAAGTAAAACAAAGCAACACTGTCTACATTAGGAGCAAGCTGGACAAAGAAAACTAGGCAGTTTGATGATAATCTGCAGTTGTATTATTGCAAATGTATATCATTCTGGTAAATAACTGGCTTGAGCAGAAGTATGATGGCACTGTTGATTTCTACCAGAATAATTTATTTAATTTCTCTGGCCATCTATTCATACATGACTCAGGGATAGCTAACCTTCAGCTAAAGGTTGAAACCAATGTAACAAAACAGCAATAAAATAGCTATAGCGGGAGAAAAACCCTCACAATTTACACAGCTACTCAACCTCAATGGTAACTATACGTAGCATCCTAATCTAGTGCTGGTGGAAAGAGTCCGGCCTTCAAGGCTTTCTTGAAGGACAGCAGAGTCAGGGCTGTGCGGATCTTGGGGAAAATCCTGTTTCAAAGAGCAGGTATAACAACAGAGAAGGCACACCTTCTGAGTCCAGCAAGATGCCATTACTTAACAGATAGGACTTGTAGCATGCAAACTCTGTTGGATCTTACAGGATGAGCAGACACAGTAGGAGAGAATTATATGACTCCAACTAAGAGAGGTTAATGGTGTTGATGGCCAAACCAGGCAATACAGCTTTTAGTCTCTTCCCATCTTCACTTCATAGATTCAGTTGAATACTAGCAGCTCCATTGTTAAGGATAAAAATAGTAAATAGCACAATGTTCCCCTAAATTGCCTCATAACGAAAGAGAATTTACCCTGAAGGCTCAGTCATGCTAAGGCTGAATATAAGCTCTTCATCCCACCTCTAGCAGCCCTTTTTTTGCCATATCATGCTCCCATTCCCTGGATAGAATCAAATTGTCACTTGAGGTTTTCAGATGTTAACTTGTTCAGCCACAAATAGATTACCAGTGAAAATCTGTCAGGATTACAATTTTAAAATGGAGTGAGTGACCTTTTCAATCCCAGTTGCCAATATGTTGGTGGATGATTGAGGACGGGGATGGGGGGGGCACATGATATACATGGGCACATAGACACTTTAATACGTGCACACATATACTAGGGACATATGTTCACACATAGCCTCATCCTTCACCTCCCATCATTCCCAGTGCATCAGGGATTCCTGGGGAAGGAAGGATACAACTACACCCCCTTTACTTCCCACTTGTGACTCCCCAATGTGCAGCTACTGCTAATTTTATGGAAAACTTTATTTTTGCAAATTCTACTGACTATAAAGGAGTCTCAGTACAGAAGACAGAATATTTCCTACCAAATTCATTGGTTGCTGGGTTTTGAAAGAAATGTTCAGCTTTCTGAATGGTCCTGTTTTTTTAAGAAAAACCATGGCAGAGACATCTCAGCACAGAATCCAGGGGACTCTCTGACTGCTGAGTCTTTTAGAAATTATGTTTTTGAAGACAACAGAAACTGTACCATTTGGAAGTTTGGAAGAAGTAAAAAGTAGGGATGAAGTGTTATGAACATACATGATTTGCATGTTGCCCTTTTCAATATTAAAACTAGTTATTGTTGATTGTTACATTGTTTAAATGACATTCACGCTGTAAACAATTTTAATAGTTTAAATGCTCTTTGAAAAGATCTTTCAGGAGTGACTAATGCAAATATTTATAATTGCGTACTAAAAACTTGGCTGTTCTGGAAGGCCTTTGGGATTGACCGTAGATGTTACATTGACCGTAAATGTTACTTGTTACATTTTTGTTATCTAAGTTTTTAAATGTACTATTTATTCTTATTGCTATTTTAATATCTGTAAATTACTTAGAGTCAAAGAGGATTGAGGTGGTGGGTAAACTGCATAAACAAACAACTGTGAAATTAACCATAGGGGAAATGGTAGAATTTGAAATAAAATAATTGGAGGAATTACAGTTCACTAGTTTATATGTATATGCACACTCATACTTTCCAGTGAAATCATAAATAACAGCAATAGTAAAAATTGACTTGGTTTATTAAGGACATTTTGCTATTATCATCAGATGAAATTCTAGCCTGCATACACATACAGAGAAATTGAGAGAGATCCAAGCTTTGACTTTGATATTGTGCCATAACAAACTATACAAGGTGGACACTGATAAAGCTAATGCAATCTTGCAGAGTTTTAATAGTTTTTTTAAAATAGTATCCCTTTGAAAAGACACAATGTGAGAAACAAAACCACTTTAACTTTGTGGTTAATGTAAATATTGAATTTGTTACCAGAAAATTTATCCTATTTTAACCTCAAGAAAGCTTTTCACATTGTCAGAGGAAATGATACTTTATTTACCATTTCCTTCATTCAATTTTATTTATATACTGTAACAAAAGGGAGCTTCAGTTTTTGAAAGACTGTGGAATACATGTTTATTATCATAATAATGCTGATGAAATTGTGTCCTTCTAAATTACTAACTATACCATACTTCCAACGCTATGATATTGAGCAATTTTTGCATTGGTTTGGGATTAATAATATAAAATGCCATATTGAATGCTAAAAATATATAGGGCTGCCCTTGGAAGTGTCAGCAGCTAGGCTGGTGTGTGAAATTCCTCACCATTGCCATATATCACCTCTGTTGAAAGAGCTGTACTTGCTGCTGACATTCCACTGAACCAAGTTTAAGATGATGGTATTAATCTATAATGCCTTAAAAAAACATGAGACCAGAATACTTAGAGAACTCTTCAGTGGAGCCCCTCTTGGTTATTCCATATCAAGAATAACCAATGAGGAAGCAGTGGGCCTTTTCTGCCATGGCATCTATTCTATGGAATGCTCTGTCTACACTACTAAAGATAAAGCAAGCACCAACCTTACTTCCATGTAGGTGCATGCTAAAAACATGTTTATTAATCTTGGCATAACACATAATGATATTGCTTTACTACTCAAGGATACTGGTGTTTATGTTTTAATATAGTTTTATCTTTGTGGTGTCTTATTGTATTTCAAATCATATTAAAATGTACTTTAATATTGTACACTACCTGGGGATGCATAGCATGAAAAGCAATATAGAAAACAGTTAAAATAAATATTTAACAAATACTACTACCTGCAATTAATTAATTATATAGTTTGCTATCTTTTTCCCATTGTGGGTTGAACAGATTTATGCAGGATGTGTGCCAACACATTAAGCACATTTGAAGTCCTGAGAAAGGATCAAGCTGTTGGCTGCCGTTATATATAGAATAGAGGTTCCCCTTTGAGAAGAATAGATTTGCCATGAAACAGACTTTTTGGGACACTTGCAGTTCAGCATTAGCAAATGTAGGTGAGAAAAGTATTTTGGCTTGTTCTACAGCTTGGATTAAGAATTTACTTCCAGACTGTTTTTTTAATCACAGCTAAGATTATCAAGTGATTTGAATATTTTTTAATAGGAAAAGAATCTGACCTGTATTATAATAATTTCTGTCATTTAGATATTGCTTTCAGATTTGTTATTTAAAAAGGCTAATTCACTTAGTATCCCAATCTTAGTTGTTATATTTATTATACTTAGGTTCAATTAATTGCCTAATATGCACCCTTAGTATTGGGAATTTCTAAAGCAAACTTTTTACAAATATAAAATAATACTAGTTATAGTAGCAGAGCTGGTTGGGCTAACAAAAAAAGCAATGATTCTGGGAGCCTCATCTTAACAAAAAACTCATGAGTTTTGCTGTAATGCAATTATTTTTTAAAATTAAAATAATTATAAGCTTTAAAATATGAATATATAAAATTAAACCCATACACTACTTTCAATATTGATGGCTTTTTGGAAATATTTATTCTGACTTATCATTGCCCTTCTGTTCTTGCTGGTATAGAAATTATTGAAAGTTTTTCTAGGAACATTTTACTGATTCTACAAATCGTTGAAGCAGCTGTAAATATATTATGTAAATGGTTAATATTGTCTGTCTTTAAAAAGAACATTTAAGTTATTGTAATAGCCAGTTAGCTGTAGTGGTTAAGGTGCTGGACTAGAAACTGGGAGACTGTGATTTCTGGTCTTCCCCTAGATATGAAAGCTAGCTGCTTGGGCCAGTCACACTCTCCCTCAGTCTAACTCACCTCACAGTGATGTTGGAGGGGAAAAGAGGAGACAGGAACATTATGTTTGTTGCCTTAAACTGTACAAAATAAAGATGGGATATAAATCTAATAATAATTACACATTCTTCAAAACTTGGATCAGTATTATTCTTTTCTGCTACATTGATCTAGCAGAAAAAGTGTGTCAGAAATTGGATAATTTATAGCAATCATTTGCTAAACTAATTGAGAAGAGTTTTAGCAATTATTAGAGAGCAGGTAAATCAAGATGCAAGCAAACACAAAAGACATATGCCTGCCCTTAATTTCTCTGACTTTATAAAGCATTATTTATCACCCGCTCTGTTAGAACTACTTACAAAGCAGCTACACCATGATTTCTGTACTTCAAGCATAAAGCCAATGAATTATCAACAGTAAAATGTATATAATGTTTATTTTTTTCTGGAATAGTGTAAAATAAATTGCTTATGATATGTTTTGCCTCATATAGATGCTGTTGCTGCTGCTGATAATGAATTAAATTTATTATGGCCATCTACTCTAAAAGACGTATGACTCCAAAAGTCAGAAGTCCAAAAGACTTAAGACTCCAAAAGACTTATAGCTGCTGGACCTTTGTGAGGCCTTGAAGGTCAGCTGGGCAAAGGTCAGCTGTGGGTGGCTGGGGGGCAGCAAGGGTAGGAAGTGGCGGTGGAATGCAGGGTGGCCAAAAGGGCAGAGATGGGGGGAGATAGGTGGGCATTGTGAAGACCTTGCAAAGGGCCAGCAGCTGCCTCTGCTGGGCACGCCATCTCAGGAGTGGGAGGAAGAGGATGGTGAAGGTCAGCTGGGGGCGGCAGCAGGGATAGGTGGCAACAGCGGAGTGCAGGGCAGCCAAAAGGGCAGAGATGGGGGGAGAGAGGTATGTGGGGGGAGTTGACAGGACAGGAGAAGCATGAGGTCCTTGCCCAACAACGGTGTAGTCCTCACCTAATGACTGCAACCGGGACTACTGGAACTGCCATCGCTAAGTGGTGCAGTCATGTGATGTTTCAACTAATGACCACTTCACTTAGTGATGGAAATTCTGGCCCCAATTAGGGTCATTAAGTGAGGACTACCTGTATTTAAAATCTTAGTAGCTTGACAGACAACTCAGAAGTATATTGACATATGCATCTGGCACTGTAAAAAATCAAAAAGTCACATAGACTTTTCTGATCTGTTACAGGACCAGAAAGAAAAAATTGTTAATATAGGATATACCAACAAATGGTATATATGTCCCAACAAAACTGAATAATGCCTGGTTGGGAATTCTAATTTTTCAGTCTGATGCAGATTTGGCATTAAGTATGATTATCTTCTCAAACATAGCTGTAATATAGATGCATCAAATAAGCATACTTCTCCATCAGAAAAAATATGGCTTTCAGAGCTATTTTTATTTTCATAACATCACTTACCAACAGTATGTGGGGTACAGATATTTGCGTAAAAAGAATAATAATTCAGGACCTCAATGATTGTCAGAAGTCCATCTTTCTTGCCTCCTCATTTTAATTTTATCATAAAATTAGAGATGTTGCTACTATGCTGTGAGCCATTTCTTCCTTGTCCAAAGAATGTAATATGGAGGGAGACTTATGTATTTTGCATAGAGATGGCTTGGAAGAACTGATTTCTGTGAGTGAATTGTGTCCTCTTCTGCCTCAGAATCAGAATTTCCCCTAGGGAAAAATATAGTTAGGAACTTTAATGATAAAGTAAAACAGATTTCCATATATAGTACTATCTTATAAAGTCTGTTTATAGTCTTACATTATGACTTTTAGTCTTACATTTTTTAGCATTGTAATGCTAAATGGAAGATGGGGCATAGGATAGTAATCAGTCATAATAATTGAACTGGATGATTCTCTAGATCTGTGATGACCAATCCATAACACTTAAACTACTTTTAGCTCCGAGAACCCCAAGGTCATTGTGCCAAAATATGGGAGTAAAATAGCAAATTTTCAGTGGCATGAGTTTTCATTCCTTCTCCCAAGTAACAGTAAGAAGGGGACAGTGAGGTCTCTGTGATGCTACCTGCTTCCACTTTCAATCTTTAAATTCTCCTCCAAACTATGCACCCAAATAAGTTTTAAAAACTTGACCCTGCTCTTTCTATTGATGTCAAACAGAAATGTTCCTGCAACCGTCCAGATGGTCAGAGGAGTGAGCTGCAGCTGCCGGACAACAAATGTTACCCACCCTGTTTAATATATATGTGTGTACATCTGTGTTTCAGCTAGCTTTGTTTTAATTCTTTTTGAGGAATGCAAGCAGTGTGTCTCCTTGTTATTAATAGTTTACTAGATTTTTAAAAATTGTTCAAAACAATAAATATATTTATGATTCTACCTACTATATATATTTAAACAGTTTTCCTTTAGTTATAGGAATAATGACTAAGCTAGTTTGCTATATAGATGCTGTGTTTTTAATTATGTGTTTTAATTAGTTGATTTTTAAACATGTACTTATTAATAGCTGGTCTGCACTCTGTAAAAAGACAGGATATAAATATAATGAGTACTGTAATGTATAAGCTATTATCTATAAAGCCCTATTCAGCACAGAGCCAGGTTACATTAGGGACCACCTTACCAAAATCATTCTATTCACTATGTTAAAATATCAAGAGAGGACTTCCTCAAGATTTTGTCACTGCAAGAGGCAAAAGGGACATGGCCAGAAGGAAGACCTTTTCTGTGGTTGCTCCAATATCAGGGAGATCTGTAAGGGTAGTTGGGGTGGGAGTCAAAAAAGTTAAGATGGTGGCCACAACTGTGTAGTCAAAGCCCTGCTCCTTTTTATGTGCATTATATATGAGACAAGCTGCCCTGTGAAGACTTTCCTTTTTAAGCAGGCATTTGATCTAAGTTCTTGGTTACTGGGCAGAAATTTTTTTAGCTATGTTATGTTGGTCTGAGGGTACTGAGTTTTTTACCTGATTACTTATGTAGTATAGTTAACGACTGAGTCAATTTATGAGGGAGTATAAATATTGTGCAAATGATAAAGAATATATAAAATAAATACAATTATTAAAGGTGTTTCAAATGCTTTTTTAAAAAAAGAGACTGAAATTAGCAACTAAACAATTATTATTCTTTTGTATGCCACAGGTTTTTAAAGAAGCTTGTCAGATGGATCAGCTCAGAGGAACATTTCACCAAGATGCTTGAGACTATGGAATACACAGAATAATGCTTATGGAAATAAAATCATTGTATATATCAGTTTTTTCTGGTTCAACAAGTTCTGAAAGGTTACTTTACCATATTATTATTTACATACTTACTAAAATTTGCTTCTGATGCAGCTGAGAAAAATGCAGTCCATTAAAACAGAAGAGGCATCTGCTGATGCAAACAGCAACATGGACAAAATTATGGTTCTTAATTCTACACTGACTGATGTATCGGATGACTTAGGTACTGGTGATGAAATGTTACTTACAGAAGGAGCCATTGTAAAAACCAAGGCTTCAGCATGCCGGAGAAAGCGGGAATTCATTCCGGATGAAAAGAAAGATGCGATGTACTGGGAAAAACGGCGGAAAAATAATGAAGCTGCGAAAAGGTCTCGTGAAAAGCGGCGACTGAATGATCTTGTTTTAGAGAACAAGCTAATTGCACTGGGAGAAGAAAATGCCACTTTAAAAGCTGAGCTACTTTCACTGAAGCTAAAGTTTGGTTTAATAAGCTCTTCTGCATATGCACAAGAGGTTCAGAAGCTCAACAATTCAACGGTTGTTTATTTTCAAGAATATCAGAATTCCAAATCAAGCATTAATGCTTTCATTGATGAACATGAGCCAACTATTGTAAGCAGTAGTTGTATATCGGTCATTAAGCACTCACCACAAAGCTCTTTATCTGATGTATCTGAAGTGTCATCAATAGAGCATACTCAAGCAAGCCCTATACAAAACAACTGCAGAAATACTGATAATAAATTCCAAATCATAAAGCAAGAGCCTATGGAATTAGAAAACTATACAAGAGATTCACGAGATGAAAGAGGGTCCTATACAACATCAATGTATCCAGGCTTCATGGGAAGCCATTTTAATGGCTATTCACATTCCCCTCCATTGTTGCAAGTGAACAGGTCCTCCAGCAATTCTCCAAGGACTTCAGAAGCTGATGAGGGTGTTGTGGGAAAGTCATCAGATGGAGAAGATGAGCAGCAGGTCCCTAAAGGTCCAATCCATTCTCCTGTTGAACTTAAAAATACTAATGCTGTAGTTAAGGTTCCAGAGGTGAGTTCTTCTGCACTTCCTCATAAACTGAGGATTAAAGCAAAGGCCATGCAAATCAAAGTGGAAACATTGGATAATGAGTATGATGCCACACAGAAACTATTGTCACCTATTGATATGTCATCTAAAAGGCATTTTGAACTTGAAAAGCATAATGCGCAAAATTTAGTACATAGTACTCACACTCCTTTCTCAATTCAAGTGACTAATATCCAAGACTGGTCTCTGAAGCCAGAACACTGGCACCATCAAAAAGAACTCACTGAAAAAATTCAGAATGGCTGCAAAACCGCAGGGCTTGATGTTAAAGACAATTCCTACAAAGTGTCTGAGACAGAAAACTTGTACTTGAAGCAGGGCATAGCAAATTTGTCTGCAGAGGTTGCTTCACTTAAGAGACTTATAACTACACAACACATCTCTGCTTCAGACTCTGGCTAAATGACTACTGAATAAATGCTTATTATTTTAAAGGATGTCATTGCAGTAGAATGGTATGTTTTGTATTACGCTGAATTTTCACTGGACTTGGAATGTCATTTCACTGTAATGTTCACATAATGTCTGATGGATGATGTCTTTTTGTGCACAGATGACTGTGGAGATGAGATTGTCAAGATCAACTAGCCTTGTGTATGGTGAAGATGCCTGTGTACATGCTGTATATAGTGAACATTATTTTTCTGTCATTCTGTTACTATAAAGTGTGGAGGTTGCCAGTTCCAATAAACAATTGGTGACAAGCACAAACTCTAAACTGTCAATCACTTTCAGTCAGGATATCTTTTTTAAAAAGTTCACCACAATCTGAGACATACTTCCATATATTCATTATAGTGATAGGTGTTGTTTGCCTCCCCACAAATCACTTCAAATCACTTCTTATCCCTGAGTTGCATGCCAGGCTGCATGTCAAAAATACCTCAGGTGCTGAGAGAGAATTTGAAATTTTGTCCAGTGGACAAAAAACAGAAAACAAATACACTTGGGAAAGCCAACAGAAATTTTCTGAATTATGCCCCTTGCATTTTAGATTATATATAGAGAGAGATGGGGGGGGAGAAATTTATAGAAATATATTTTAATATACATTAAGATATTACATATTAATATACAGTATGGTAGTAATTTTGTATATCAATATTTATTTATTATGGATGCCCATCTCAAATTCATGATTCTGGGTGGCCAACAATACTTAAAAACAAGGTAAAAACCACATAACAAAATTATAAATAACATATATAGCAGCTGAAAAAACCAACCACCACCACCAATTAGCACATGATACAGGCTCAGCTGTGTCTGGAGCCCCAGCCGTGATAATAAAACCAGGTTTTCAAGGTATAACGAAAGGCCAGCAGAGTCAGGGCAAGTCTGATCTCTGGGAGAATGATGTTCTAGAGGGCAGATGCTGTGCCATGAAAGCTTGGGTCCTCCCAGATGATACTACCTAACAGACGGTACCTGGAACATGTGCCTTCTGCCAGATCTAACAGGACAGGTAGATACAACCAGGGAAAGACAGTCCTGTAAGTAACCTGGAAGCATATTGGCAAACAATGCAGCTTGCAGAGCAGAGGTGTCACGTGTTCCAAACAACAGGCACGCATAATTGCCTGTGCAGCTTCATTCTGTACCAGCTGAAGTTGCCAAATACTCTTCAATGGCAGCCCCATGTAGAGCACATTGCAGTAGTCCAACTGCAAGGTGACTAAGGCATAAGTGTCCATGAGCAGAGCATCCTGGTCCAGGAATGGGTGCAATTGGTGCACAACATGTAGCTGTCTAAAGGTGGTCCTAGCCACAGCTACCACCTGCTCTTTGAGCATGAACTGCGAGTCCAGAAGGACCTCCAAATTGTGCTGGTTCTGTCTGCAGTAGTGCAATTCTATCCATAACTAGAGATGGAAGGTCCCCAGAACAATGGGATGCTAAACCCAAAGCCATTAGGTCTTGCTAGGGTTTAGCTGAAGCCTTTTTGTCCACACCCAGTCTCCCACAACCTCCAGACACCAAGACAGGACCTCTACCACATCATGCAGGTAGCCTGGGGTGGAGATATAAAGCTGGGTATCATCCACATACTGATATCTCACCCTGAACTATCAGATGACCTCACCCAGTGGCTTCATGTAGATGTTGAACAAGAGTGGAAAGAGTATTGAGACCTGCTGCACTCAACAAATCAGGGGCCATGGCCTGGACCTCCCCCCGCCCGCCCCCATAAATGATGTACGGATATGGGGAAACCATTTTCCTTTTTTTCTCACAGGCTTGTGATGCAGAGAAGGGAAACAGTCAAAAACTGTCTCATCAAATTAGTTTAACAAAGTACTGATTTGGATACTGTTTTGACTTATTTTAATCCCAGCTTTTCCCCAGGGAATGTCTTACAAGTGTAGCATGTTGCAAAACACCTTCAAAGACTTCAGAATAATAGAAAATAGATTAGGCCATGTGTTCCACTGTGGCACTCATAAATGATGATGTACATGGTATCATCATACTTAATATCTGAGGTTCTCTTCCCATCAAATGTATTCTAGATTATCTCATTTAAATAATAAAGGAAAGCTAGTATGATGCAAAGGAGAATCTCAGCCCCAAGTATAAACTATTTCCAACAATCCTCTACACCATACTGGCCTTAAGTATTTTTGACCTGCTCAGAAAAATTATAAAGTTAAGCTGAAATGGCAGATAATATTTTGGCATATCAGAGGATGGCAAAGAACCACCTCACAAATTTCCCTTCTGGTGAACTGGTATTCTGTAACTGTCCATGCTCACCATGGCATTCATTTTATGAGAAAGCCCAAGACCTTCTCAGGTTCTCGGGTGCCTTTCAAAAAGGCTAGGGAGCATTTTCCAATACAAAGGGGTTAGACACAAAATACCCTTGTCATCTATTAAGTACCATGAAACTTAGATTTAGGAGAACTTGTCCACATGGTGCAATGTAGGAAACTCTAATTGTATTTACATCGTTTTGCATCATTGCATAATCACTGTGATGATACAGTTGGGACAACTGTGAATAATGGATGTCACTTTCCCCCAAATTAAAAATTTCACAGAAACAGCAAATTAATTTCTTTCAATAACAGTGCAACAGATGTATTTTTGCAATTTCCAATGGATTTTAACATCTTATTAAAAAACTTCTTAATATTGCAGGTAACTTTTCATCTGCCACTAACAGCTTTGCATTTAGAGGACGCCAATAAAGCTCAGTTAACATTTTAGCTTTCGTTTCTGGATATAGATATTGATAAATCTGTTGTTTCCTTTGTACAAATGACTGCCTTCCGCAACTATTTGTATCTTTGTTTTTATAGTCTTTTTTCAGCAAGTTTCAGTAAGAACTAAATTTCTATACAAATGGATTGTAGCTTTATAGGTTTTTTTTTTTTAGTACAAAACCTAGAGGACAATTAATGTTCATACTAAGGTCTCCTTTGAGTCAAGCTTCATTCTGGTGAGTTCATTCATGTCCATGAATTTATTGGCAACAATATGGAGGTAATTTATCACTGCCTTCTTTCAAGATTTAGCCTAGAGACCAGGGATTTACTGATGCTGTCCCATTTGAGTACTAACTAGGTCTGACCCTGCTTAGCTTGAGATCATTCAAAGGTGGCAAAATACTGCCAGCTAGTTGGGCAGCTCATGTTTTAGTTACAATTTCATAGTTGTGAACAGTTTTTTGTAGATTTCTGAACCCAGATGATTTTCTGTTTTTAAATGATCTGCAATTACTTCTCCAATAGAGACCTCAATATAGACAATCAACTTTGATATGTCCTATCATGACTGCATGAATTTTCAAATTATTTTTATATAATAGATAAATGGAAAACTAACTTTCTAGCTGATCTTCTTTATTATATGAAAAGAACATGATGACCAGTCATGTATTCTATGTGATCAGTTAATTGCAATTAATTGATCCTGAGTAAAAGTCACTCAGAACCCAATCTGTGTGAAGATATATATTACACATTATAAAGTGACCTGTACTCAGGTGCACTGCTAGCAATTTGTATACCAGTAGTCCTTAGGTTACAACAGTAATTGGGACCAGAATTTCCATCGCTAAGTGATGTGGTCGTACAATGCAATGTCACATGACCACATCACTTAGCGAAGGCAATCATGGCAGTCCCTGTTGCTGTCATTAAGTGAGAATTGTGGGTCGTTAAGCGAGGACCTCTTCGAGATTTCCTGCCGGCTTCCCAATTGACTATGCTTGTTAGAAGCTGGCAGGAAGTCATGATGAGGTCCTGGGCTGGGGTGGCTGGTGCTGGGGGCGGTAGGGCGCACAAGTAGCTGCTGCGGCCCAGTGTGAATCCCCAGCTGCCCCAGCCCAGCAGCATGGTTCAAAGTCACAACCACCCTGCATTCCAAGGACGCTGCTGCCTTAGATAGCCTTCGCCATCTTCTTGCTCCCGCTGCTGGCGAGGTGCACCCAGCCTGACCCTTCATGAGGCAGCTGCTGGCCACGCAAGGCCTTCTTCCTGAGGTCTTATGTGAGTGCAAGGGGCCAAAAGGGCTGAGATGGGAGGGAGATAGGCAGGTGGGGGTTGCTGAAGTGGACCCTGCAGTTGTAAATGAGAGTAGGCTGCCAAGTGCCCAAATTTTGATCATGTATCTGCAGGGACGCTCCAGTGGCCATGACTGAGGACTGGGCGTAAGTACCATTAGTTCAGTGCTGCCACAGTTCAGTGCTGAATGGTTACTGAATGAATGGTCATTAAGCAAGGACTACCTGTAATCTGTATCCAATATCAGTGGAGCCTACTCTCAAGTTTTTATAAATTTTCTAGAGCTCTATACTAAATTTTCAATTCTTTTTGTTCAATTCTTGAACATTTTGGAACTTCTTTCATCTTAGCAACTTTCCCATTCTTTTTCCTTCATTTCTATCCAGGTTTTTATTACCAAATATAATAATCTTTTTGTTTGAAGATCTGTATATGAATAACCTTCACTAACAACTAAATTGTTTTTTTTGTTTCTTTTTTAAAATCTTGCTCATTTCTGTTTCCAGAAATCACATTACAGCTCTTCCTCAGTTTACTTTTGCTAATCCAGAAATTATGATTTTAAGTGCTGTTTCATAAATGTGTGTTCACATGTTCACTATTTGATAACTATGACATCAGTAAAAGGATGAAGATGTGATACCAGAAAGAGAATATATATCTCCTCACATCCATTCAGATACAAGGCATTTCAATCAAGTCAGTTTATACAGTACAGCTGCCTAGCATCAAATAAAATAAATAATAAAATAAACTCTAATAAACAAACACATAAAGGAAAAACAGTATCTTAAGATCTGGAATGATAAAGAATAATATAAATTAAATCTGAGTTGTAAGCAACTTATTTCCAAATGAACAAATATAAGAAGTACTGCATTTCCTCCTATTTTTGGAGAACTACAATATATTTTGCCAGAAATAGCTTTTGGGAACATAGCAAAGTCTAAGAATAGCTGTGGTATATTTGTAGAAGCTGTGCCAGAAAAAGGTTACTATAGCTGGCAAATACTTGATTTGAAATTAGCTTATTTAAACAAAGTAAGGCTTACAGACTTTGAATGCTTAAAAATATATTATGCAAATCTTTTGGCAACATATTGATTCTCAGAAATTTTGAGCTCCTACAGTAGCTGTAATATTATTGTATGACTTATTTATCAGACCTATTGTTCTTGTTCAATTGGTCCACTACTTCCAACT